CCCCCTGCTCCTGCCATCCCCCTGCTCCTGCCATCCCCCCTACCCCTGGCATCCCCCAGCACAGCAGGGACACAGTCACTGGGGCCCAGCCTCTCCCAGTGCCCCCCACTGAGAGCAGCTCTCTGCAAGTGCAGACACACGGGTGCACCTCTCCCTCCTGTCTCAGCAGAAGCTGCTCTCCAGGACACACTTGGAAAAAATTCCTTAGTGTGAGGGTGGTGAGACACTGGAACTGGTTGCCCAGGGAAGCTGTGGCTGCCCCATCCCTGGAAGTGTTCAAGGACAGACTGGATGGGGCTTGGAGCAACCTGGTCTAATGGGAGATGTTCCTGACCATGGTATGGGGTTGGAACTGGATGATCTCTAAGGTTCCTTCCAACCCAAACCAGTCTGGGATTCTATAACATGGGATCCTGCAGGATCTGGACACACTGGTGGGAGATGCCCAGCCACCAGTGCTGGCTCTGGGTGACATCCCCTGGGTGCTAAACATCTCCCAGACCTGACTGCCAGTGGCAGGGATGTTCACAGCCCCTCAGATGCCAGCTTTGCTGTGCCCATTGAGAGGGAGGCCCCGTGCCAGGACACCTCCACCACAGAGCTCCCCCAACCCCACGGCCAAGCAAGAGCCCCGTACCTTCCTGTGGCCAGAGAACAGCAGGGTGAGCTGGTGGATGGAGCCACCGTTCTTGACAAGCTCCTTCTTGAGGGTCCTGGGGGAGGGCAGGGCCCAGTGTCCCTTGGTGCCCTGGCTGTCGGAGCAGTTGAGGGTGGTGTCGGAGGTGAAGCAGGGGCTCCTGGGCTCCTGCAGGAGGCTGCCCTCGCTGTGCGTGCGGCGCCGCAGGGAGCTCTGCACGCTCAGCGTCCGGGCGGGCTGGCAGCCTGACGTCTCGATCATGCTGCTGCGCTTGGCCTCGCTCCTCTCCAAGTAGTGCTCATCGCTGTCCTCCTCCTCATCCTCCTCATCTTCCTCTTCCTCCTCCTCTTCCTCCTCCTCGCCATCCGTGGTGCTGCCGGCCGTGCCTGCCGCGCTCTGGCTGAAGGTGCTGTCGAGCCGCAGCTCGGGGATGACAAAGGCTGGCAGGGAGTTGGGCTGCTCCTCTCCCTTCATGGTGGCTACTGGCTGCTTTTCCAGCAGGAGAGGACCCTGGGTGGCTCCCAGAGCCTCCCAGGGCTCGGCCAGAGCTGGTGCCTCTGCAGCCAGAGGAGCATCACTCGCTGGTGCCTTCCCGTCCTCCGAGTGCATCTGCCCCGGCTTCTCAGTGTCTGTCTCCAGCATCTGCCCATAAGAGAAGATACAGAAGATGAAGGCAGAAACAACCCAGATCTCTCTCTGGCCATTTTCCTGAGCAGGTTTCTCAACTCCTAACACCCCAGCCACAAGGCTGGCATCAATTTGTACAGCCCTAATGGTGCCCTGCTGGGTGGGACAGCATCGTCCCCACATTGCCCAGCACTCCCACAGCACCCAGTCCTGGTGCTGAGCCCTGGAGCACTGTGTTCCCCATCAGCAGTGAGCTGGTGGCTACAGGGCAGGAGTGGGATGGGGCTTGTTTTTTTGCCAGCTTTCTTCTGCAGCTGGGAGAGGCCTGAGTAAGCTCTGCCCTTCCAAAGAGAAAAGCCAGCAGTAGCCCAAGGGAAAAACTCTCCATTGCCCAAAGCCTGTCAAAGCCAACGGGGCAAAACCAGCTCATCAGGGGAGAAAGACCAAAGCAGAGAAAAATCCTCCCTCCAGGAAGCAATTCCCACCTAAGCAGACCCTGCAGGGCTGGGGCAGGGATTATGATTCTGAACCAGCCCCAGGGAACAAGTCACCCACTTGCCACCGTGTCCCCGGATAAGATCCAAGCATTTTCACAAGCCCAATGGCAACCAGAAAGCTGGAGTTAACAAAGCCACCAGCTCTGTATAAAATGGGTTGAGTTCAGCTTCAAAAAAGAGCAGCAGCCCCAGGAATCCACCCATCCAGCCTTGCATCCCATTGGGAAGAGGTACCCATGGAGCAGACAGGGGCTGTATCCCTGTGGTGGTCCCAGCTTGTGAGAGCAGACCCCAACCTCCTGGGACAGCCAACCTGCTGGTACACACCTCCTCCCCCTGCAGAGCCAGTGGACGTGGATTATAAACCACCACCAGATACCACCAGGAGCTGGACACAGAAGTCAGGCTGCAAAAGCTGCTGCCATCCCCAGGAAGCCCCCCAGAGGTGCCCAAGCCCCTCCTACAGCACAACCTGCTCTGCACAGAGGGGACAGCACAGAGACCATGTGGCACCTGCAGGAGCCAACAGCTCCAACGAGCCAGCCAGATCTCCAAACACATGGTTGGGCTCAGCACTGTGGCCACCTGCCCCCAGGGCAGCAGGCAGAGCAGCTCATCCAGCTCTGCCAGTGCCCAGTCCTTGTTTACCATCTGCAAAGGACCCCCTTACACCTGTGGGGACAGGGAGAACCCACCCTGTCCCCTGCCAGCCTGACACGGCGCCGGCAGCAAATCGGCACCATCACC